CGAGATAGAGCCAAGCTCGATACCTTTCATCATATCTTGTAGCAAATCGCACAAGAGAATTTACATAGTCGTTTAGATAAGTTAATTCGTTAGCTATTTTTTGTTATTTTATTACAAAGATTGTAATTACGGATCTTCGCATGATTAAAAAGAAATTACGGAAAAACGTAAACATAAAAGATATTATCTTTTCATTGCAAAATAGGGGAATAAGGGAAATTTTTCAAGAAATATTACCGCTGACATAAATAAGTGACGAAAAATTGTTAACAAACTGTTCGAATCGGGGAACGCCGCTTATATTTCCAATAATGGCTTTTTCTAAATCAGGCGGTATGAGTTGCCGCCCGTTTGTCGAAAAAGTGGCGGCGAAACAATAGCGAAGATCGTCCGGGCATCACATCGCCGGGTTAAAAGACCGTGAAACAATATCTGACATGACCACCCCCTTCCCCCTCCCCCCTCCCCCTCCCCTTCCCCGTTATCTCTCTCTTCTTGCTCTTCGTCATCTCGGTTTCCGCGTACCCCTGTGTTTCGTATTAGTTATCGTTTATATCAGCCGGCTAGACAAAACGCGCCGCCCGGAATTGGGTGAGCCATCTGTTGCCAGACATGATCGATAAAAGTCTGCCAAGTGTTATCAGTGCTAAACTGCTATTTCGACGGGCTGCCGCACCCTCTCTTCCACTTGTACTTCTTCTTACAGTACTTCTTCTATCCACCGCAACCTGTCTCTTCGCAGCAGCTGTATACGAGGTGTCGCCGGCTTACCGAGACAAATTTTTACCCCCGAGAAAGAATTCTGCGATCGCTATACGAAGTTGACTTTCGCCGAACAAAAAAAAAAAGAAAAGAAAAAATATGTTGGATGGATATAATTGTGAAAATCATTTATGCTACATACGAGTACAAAAGTTGCCGCGAGTTTCGAATTTAAATATGAATATTTTCGACGCGAGGCAAAGATAAAATTTTTGCATTAGAGAGAATTTACATTATATCCGATTTAAATTCATTAGCAATATTGCTGAGTGAAGCTTAACCGAGCAAAAGGAAAATTAGGATGGAAACTGCGCCTCGCTGCACGGCTCGAGCGCCCCGTAATGAGTAAGTAGCAAAATGGCTAGCAGAGAGCACACCTAATTCAATATCATTGAAACACGATCTTGTCAATTAGCTCTGTGATTTTGGTATTTAGTAGCTTCGTCGAAGCTATATAATCAATATAGGAGTTAGAAATTCTAACGTTACGCGGATTTGATTACATTAATATAATTTCGCTCAGATAACAGGACGTCTAATGTTTAACATTTAATCAAATATATTTTTTAATTAAAATGTAAGTCAGTTATGTTATAATTAAATATTAAAATGCTAAGAATTGATGTTATAAAATATATATATATATATATCATTTTTACAATAGAAAATATAAAATGATATTGGGAAAGTATCTAGAAAGAGCGATTTAATGTGAAAACAATAATTGTGAAACTTTCAATTATGGTTGGATAGATAAGATCGCATTGCAAGAAATTATGTCACAGCTCTATTAAATTAACATAGAAAATTAGCTAAATCAGATATGTTCTAAAGACGAGCAAATCGTACCAATTAATTCCCCAACGTGCGAGAGATAACGGTTCGTATCGTGTTGTATTCTATCCCTTTCCTCTCTATAACATTGCGTTTTCCGCTATCACGTATCGACTTGCTCATCATTCACTCGTTGAATTTCAATGGAACGTGTCGTGGATATTAAGCATCGCTGAAAAATACGCGAGTAACGTCAAGACAAGGATGAATTCAGGGGAAATTCGTGTTATAAATACTGAAAAAATATCTCCCATCTCTCAAAAGAGAATTTTTGAAAGTAAAGAAGTTTTTGAATAAACAATTGAGTCGATTCGTTTCCCATTGCACGCAACAATCGGCCCCCCCCCCTCCCACCCCCCACACTACTACTACTACTACTACTA